AAAAAAAAAAAGTTGTTAAAGCTGTAGATTCCTGTTAATGTCTGATCTTACTTTTCCTTTTTAAGGACAAATATGGAAAAGTATATGATGTCACTAGGTTAAACATTTGAACATTCATAGAAATGAATAAAATTTGCATTTTTAGCTTTGTAAATAGTATTGCGTAGATGGAGATTTTTCTGTTTTAGCAGATACTTCTTGTCACATTTATTTCAGGCAAATGCTGTTTGTTTCAGTGAAATATCATTTTTCCAAAATATTGAGATACTTTTATTACTGTTCTTACATTAAGTTCCTTGTAATTACCCTTCCTCCTCCTGCCTCGCCCAAGAGACAGAATAAGACTTGATTGTATTATCGACATGAACATTTATAAGTGTAACTTGTAGTAATTACTGATTCAGATGAGTTATATTTTGTCAGTCTTAGTTTTGATGTATTTTACATTTTCATGATAAGACTAGAGAAAACTCTTCATGTGACAAGAAAAGATGTCTGTATGTAATTAATAACAAAGAGGACCACTGCAGTAATCTAGTATGAAGTCCTGGATAGCTATCTTCTGTATTAGAAGACGTATATGCATACATACTGATGCATACAGTCACAATGCTGTGGTAACCAGTAAATAACAAACCAGTATCAATGAGTAACAACAATGTCACTGGTACTTTATCAGAATTACTTTGCAACACCATCTGCCTAAAATTTGGGTTTACAAAAAGAAAAACTTTCCAATAGGGACTTTTAATAATTGAAATTATTTACATACACCAAACTATCACTTAAAATTACTTCCTGGTTTCACAATACTTTTCAGCTAGGGCACATAATCAAGTAGGTCAGAGTTTTAATAGTGAGAGGGCATGTGTAATCACTGCCAAAACTGAAATGATAGTGGAAAAGCCTGCTCTGAATATAACTACAAAGTTCAATGAACAGCATGAACGTAGAATAGAAAAGTGCTATTTTCTCTTGCTCTCCTAGTTTGCAACGTAATCCATAAAATCTCACTTCATTACTAAAACTCTGCTTATGTCCAGTAAAGGAAAGGAAAGGGAAAAAAAAAAACCACAAAACCCAACATTTCAGGCATCATCAAGAAATGTGTATGGAAAATAGTTTACAAAGTTGAAATTTTATTACTCTAGTAATGGGAAATATATACAAAGTATTAATATAGAGCAACATAGTAACTTATGTGTAGAAAGACTGTCTGCTTCATCATGCTCTCCTATTTCATTCCAAAATACCACTAGTAGCATAATTCCTCATTTTCTTTTGGGGAGCAGGCTAAAGTAGATTTATGTCTAAAAATCAAGAAGAAATGGCAAGGGGAGGACCTAGGTAGCAATCATTTTTTTTCCTGCCGTGGACTCATCTCATTGCTTTGAAATTTTTTTTTTTAATCTGAAACTTACTCATCTTCAGAGGCTTTCTACAGTTTCGTATGTACTTCATAGGATAGAAACACTAATCTGAAGCGTAGTGTATTTGTAGTTCCTAAACTTTTTGGGGGAAAGGAGGTAGAAGAAAAATGGTCTGCAGAAGAGGAAAAATTTTGAAACACTTGTGTTATTTGTGACCCAAAATTTAGTTCCTAGATTTTCAAATGAACTATAATTAAAACATTGATTAATTTCAGTTTTGCTTTTGCATCAATAATAGTTTTGCTTCTTGGCTCTTCAAAACATTGGAAAGCTTAAAAAGACAAATATATAAAGTCCAAAAATTCTGGGATGGTGAAATACTCATTTTTTGTTTTCTTTCGTTTGTTGTAGCTAGTCAGTCTTTCCTTATGAGTAATCAGAATTGTAGGAGGTGCAGAGGAGAGAGAACTGATGTCCAAGAGTTACTGATTTAATTGCTGCTGCTGTTCTTGCAGACTCTGGAGCCCAGCAGTGGGCTTTGTTTTATCCCTCTTATCAAAGTGCACAGAAAATATGTAGCCTTACTATAAACTGAGGAAAGGGCACTTAGTTGTGCTGGATTTTGCTTATTGCTCTTTGCATATATTGTTTCCTATGAAAACTCCTGAGCTTTCTTTCATCAACTGTGCACTTAAACCACCTCATCCAAACAGGTTTCTTTCATTGCTTTCTACCCTATATTAAATTGATTCTTGCTTCAAAACTTTATTTTAATTGTCATCCTCTCTAATGGATACATTTCTCAGGCAGGAATACTCGGATATGTGTTGCTGCTTTATTTATAGTTTCAGAGTTGCTTTGCCAACCATTACCCTGC